TGAAAAACAAATTAATTTAAAATAATTTAATTTTCTTTAAAAAATTTAATATCTTTTTGAAATTTCTTCTTAATAAATAATTGCTTATATAAAATTTTTTTTTAAAATATTTATTGTTTATTCAAATTTTTTATATTTAATTTATATCTTGTTTTATCTTTTTTAGTAATATTTTTGCATTTATAATGAACCTTGGATTCTTAAATGATTATTCAATAAAACAATCAAATTATATGATTTATATTATTATTCTAATAACTTGGATTTTGAAATAAATATTTTTATTAAATTATTTATTAATAGAAATATTAATATTTTCAATATAAAATAAATAAAAATTAATTTAAATTAAATAATATTTTTTTCTATATAATAGATAATTACTCGTAAATTTCAATTTTTAAAATATAAAACTTAGTTTATGGTTTATTTATGATCTGTTGATACGAGTAAACCTTAAAGTAAAAATTATGAAGCTTTCATATATTATATAAAAAAGTTTATATAATAGTTATTTTTAAAAAGAATCTGTTAATCCAGAAAAAAATATATTAAACATCTTACGAACTAAAGAATCGGTATTTATTTGAGTTTCAATTGTTTGATTGCCGTCCTATTCATACTTTAGGTTTTTTATTACGAGTCAATTATATTCCTTTTACAGTATATTTGAATATTAAATAGATCGTTGAATCAAAAAACTGAATTTATGTTAAAATAAAGAAAAAAAAAAAAATACCAAAACAAATTAAACATTAATAATAGTATAGTCATATCTAATAAAATCAAAGTAAATTCGAAGACTTGTATTTAGTTTAATTACTCGAAAATTACCGGAAAAAGAAAAAGAAAAGAAAATTCTTGAATTCCACACTTAAATCTCATCAAAATAAAGTCTACCATCAACATCGACATTGTACAGTAAATAATTTATCGATTCCATTTGATAGTCCCTATTTGTTAAAAACTCAGCCCGCCACTAGCAGCTAATCGAGAAAGTTGAGTATCTCCTTTACCAAACAATGGTATAATTGTGATGGCACTGAATCCAGGACATTCGGGAACTTTCATCGTAAATATTAATTTGTTCAAATATATCCTTACACACTTTCCTACTAATGGCTTAACCAACTCCTGACTTTTGTCGAGAACGTTCTTATAAACATCTTTACCCAACATTTCCATGCCATCAATATTAAATAGAGACGGACCACTCTCACAAGCGTAAACAGGATAGCCTTGATCGTATTGTGGACGAAGGGTTCTTAGAATGGATTGGATGATGAACGTGTCTGATGGGTGAAGAAATTGAAAATGTGATTGTTGGGATGAGAAAAGGTCCCAAATTACATCGTGCACATGGAATTGAATGATGGGTCGCACTTCTTTGCCAGAGAATCGTACTATCTCTTTGTCCAGATGTAAATCCTTTGCCTTTACTGCACTCAAACAAACTTCCATCAGCCAATCTTCAATAAAAGGACTTTTGTACACCTTGTGGACGGGTAAGGTGTATTTAATCAAATTTGGTAATTTATAGAAATGGATGTCAGCCGATAAATTTCGGCGAAATGTGTCATAAGACATACCGAATGGTAAATTTGTTGAGGATAAAGGGAAAATTGTGTATCCACGAAGATATCTAGCGATAACTGCAAAGATCTGAGGATCACGATCCACACACATCGAATTAACCGTTCCTTTTTTCTGATCATTTTCCCCGAAGAATGTTTCTGTGAATAGATTTGGTGAATCTCTCTTCAGGCTTTAATTTAAGTAAAGAAAAAAGTCAGATAAGAGTTGATCGAGTTTTCATAGCATGTAAAAAAAATAAATAAATAATAATAATGTTACCTGAATTCAGAAAATTGAAAAAGGGTTCCTCCAACGTGTATGGTGTATGATGTAGAAAAGGTTCCCTTTGGCGTTGATTGCAAAAGAATTATGTTACCATCATTCACACGCGGAGTTATTACATCCATATCCATTTTTTTGTTAAGACCTCCTCGAAAAAAATAATCAAGTGATAAACAACGAATTTATTTATATCAACGGCACTTATAGAATTTTTCTCCCACTCAAAAGTTGACAAACGTGGGAATTTGCAGAGGTTTAATTTGCATAAAAGGATTTTACCACATATTTCGACAAAAAATGGTGAAAAACATCGTGCATTGTACCGAAAGAGTCTTAAAGACACGAATTATACGCGTAGTCCCTATTAGGAATATAAACGTTCTCGACACTACATACCAGGCAATCAGAATATGGCTATTATTTATAGATTATTCAAAAAATTCAAATTATTATGAATACAATAATTAGCCAAATTAGATTGGAAGTTTATTAATTAAAGAATATATTTATTTGAGCAACATGATACATACTACAGTTAAACTATATATACAAATTCAATTAACTTATCATAAACATAAAAAGTCTTTAAGTTTGATCTTAAAAATTTTTGTTACTCTACAATAGATTTTGAATAAAGATTTTTCTAGACTATATATTATTACCAGCAAGTTTTTACTACTAATTATTTTATTAATATTTAAATATAAGAAATTACATAAGGAGTGAATTGAAAAAAAAGAAAATTTGAAAATTTGAAAAATGTACAAGTATTTTATAAAAAAAGAAAAAATAAAAAACAGTAATATTTAACTTTCTTTAAAAACTTATATTTAAAAATCTCTTCTCAATAAAATTTATTTGATTAAAATAGTTTTTTATTTTCTGATTATTTGAGAACTATCTATTTTTAATCTTAATTTCTATTTCTTATATTATTTAAAAAACTTATAATTTTTTAAAAATTTTTATTTTCCAGAGATATCTTGTTTTAATTTATCTTAAATAATAATTTTTTATATATTTGTAACAATTATTTAACTTATAATAAATTTTAGATTTTTATATTACATAATAAAAATTGAATAATATTTTTTTTTTTTTTTTTTAATCTGCAGTCAGGTCAGCATAGCTTGTCTTTATTGTATATATATCAGATATTTACAAATTATTTTGACTTTCACATACTAACT